AAAAAAAAAAAAAAAAAAAAATTTAAATAAATAAAAACACATCTTGGCTCCCTACCCCCAGGTACTTTGATATAATAGGTTCAGGATAGGGCCAGGAAGTTACATCTATAATGAGGTCCCAGGCCTCCCAAGAACCACCCTTTGAGAGAGACTGATTGGGCTGTAAGCCCCCATTAACACTTGTACAGGCTTTGTGTTGTCCTGCCAGTATCCCCAATGCCTGGCACAGGGTAGGTCTTGATAAATGTTTGGTGATAGTTTGGATGATCTGTCTGTGGGGTTTCCATGGATGGACCTCAGAGAGTCCTGAACCACTTGAAATTGACCACAACTTTTGTTCAGGTTTGTGGATAGGATGAAAAGCACCCTCTGAGCACTGAAAACTCTGTGATTTTAGGATTGAAACCTAAATTTTCTCCTACTGAAAGCTCAGACCTATTAATTGTGAAGCAATTAATAGCAAACTTTGAGTTCTGTATCCGGGTGATCTGGTGAGAAGATGTCAGTTTACAGTAGATTCTTAAAATTCTAGAGGAGTTGATATCCACAATTTATGTGAAAATTCTGGAAGTTCTTGGGATGCATCCTGTTTTTATGATTTCTCACTTCATCTGAATGTACCTTTTGGGTCAGTAGTGCTGTCTCCATTTTCCAGGTGGGAAAATCAGGGTGCTGGTGGCTTCTGGACCTTGTCCAAGGTCACAACACAAGGACTCTCTTCACTGAAGACTAGCCTGGGAGTCAGAGAACATGGTTCTTATCATCTTGCCTGCTTATGTGGCCTTGGTTGGGTAGCTGGGCCTCTTTGGGCCTCAGCTTCCCCATCTGTAAGATGGGGGAGGAGTGGACTAATTGATTCTGAGTATCTGCTTAGCTTGGATATTTGAGGACTCTCTATAACTATGTGCTTAGATGTGCAGAACTCCCTGTGTCTGTAGGCTCTGACGTCCTCTTTGCTTAGGGAGATGGAAGGGCCGGTGGGACCACCTGAACAGCATAGATCCTGTCCACAGAGCATTCCAGAAGGCCAAACATCATAAAAGCAAAGGGCAGTGCAGGTCGTAGAAGCTGAGGATGTGAAACTCCCAGAATTTTGGAACATCAACTCTCTACCCTGTCAGTTCAGCAATTCACTGTTCATTCTGAGAACAAGATTCAAGGAGCCTACTTCCATGAGGTCACAACTGTGCGATTCAATCCCGTGCCGCATTTCCCGTGTCGAGGGAAGACTTTGATGAACAGATGGAGGAAACAGAGCCCTCCGTGGAATTTTAGACTCTTGAAATGTCCTTTAAGGGTCACCTAGCCCTTGCTACTCAGTGTCCTTCATGAACCACCTGCATCAGCATCACCTGGGAGCTTGTTAGATGTGCAGAGTCTCAGTCCCCACATCAGAATCTGTGTTTAACAAGATCTCCCACCCCTGCTCTGTGATCGCACTGCACATTAATTTTTTTTTTGAGAGACAGGGAGAGAGAGGATCCCATTTAGGCTCCACACTGTCAGCACAGAACCCAACGTGGGGCTCAGTCTCATGAACTATGAGATCATGACCTGAGCTGAAATCAAGAGTAGGACGCTCAACCAACTGAGCCACCCAGGCGCCCCTGCTGATTTCATTTTGAGAAGCACTAGCTCCAATCCAGCCTTGAGTCCCCTCTTTCACATCCTGATGAACTATCAAGCATCCTATTCCTGGCCTCCTCTAATATCTTCCTCCTAGTTGGTCCTGTTTCATCCTAGCACGATCCAACTTTTGGAATTTCTTCTCTACCTTGAGCGAAGCCCCCTGCCATTGTCGCTCATTCTAGCCTTAGGACCTCAGAGAACAAGATAACTCCTTCTGTGTTCCCCATGGCTTCTCATCTCCTAGTCCTCCTAACACAGTTTCTAATTGCAGCACTGTACATCGTATATTATACAATAGTGTGTATTGCGGCAATATGCAGACTCGCTGCGGCCAGGCAAGCGACACAAATGAGAGATGGGAACCAGATGAAAAGCAATAAGGAATGGTAGGGACTGTGGCAAGCTGGAGAGGCTTGCCTCACCTAAGCAGGGCAGTTCTTGTGACTGCCCGCTGAGGAGCTGAGGGAACTCAGCCTGAACATTGACATGTCTTTTGAGTTTTCAAGAGAAGCCAAAAATCTTGATAGAACAATAGGAAATCTCCCTTCCCTGCCTGCCCCCCACCCCCGCACTGGCAATTAAGAAACAAGATGAAACAAAACAAAACCAAACCTCAAAGCCACCAGATTGTTTTTGCTAGCGACCATACTTAAGGTTTTTGTGACTTTTGATGATCAATCTGTTCAACTTGGATACTAGAGCCCAGGTTTGGTCTGAGCAGCTCAGAGCAGGCAGGATTATGGCCTCTTTATTCGAGACTAGTAGTTCTTAAACTCAAGAATGGCTTAGGACCTCTTGGAGGACGTGTGAGTGTGTTGAGTGTGTGTGTGTGTGTGTGTGTGTGTGTGTGTTATGGGGGGGGGGGCAGAGAGAGAGGGAGAGAGAATCCCAAGCAGGCTCCATGCTGCCAGCACAGAGCATGATGCAGGCTTGAACCCACGAAGCTGTGAGATTGTGACCTGAGCTGAAATCAAGAGTTAGATGCTTAACCAACTGAGCCACCCAGGCACCCTGGAGGACTTGTTAAGACATAGATCTTAGGGCCTCCCCCACCAGGGTTTCTGTCTCAGGAGGACTGGGGCAGAGCCCAGGAATTAACATTTTTCACAAGTTCCCAGGTGGGGCAGTGCTGCTCATACTTTGAGAACCTCTAGATGGGCTTCTTCCATTTAGGTGGCCTCAGTCTGCAGAGCCTCTTGGTTCCACCAGTGAGCTGAGCAGTCACCTGAAGTTTCCAGTCTTTGGGTAGCAGGAGAAGGAAAAGGAATTGGGAGGGAGGGCTGGACAAAACATTGCTAAACAGCCCTTGACCCATCCCTCTTGACATCTCAGTGATGGAGTATTTCTTGGGCAGGCGCCTGACCCACCCCAAGGCTTGGCTGCTCTTCGAAATGGAGATGTGGCCCTGATCAGTTTCCACTTGTATTTGTTCATTTATTAGGAGATTTGGTTGTCGGTTTGTTTTCAGCAGAGGACCTTTTTAAAATGAAATCCCGCATGGAATCCTGGTACAGAAAACAGACAGATGCATTGCTGGTGTGGTTCAAAGGGGGCCAAGCTCCTCCTCTCGGAACCCCTCGTCCCAAAGCAGTGCTGAGTGTCTCCTGTGGAAATGTAGCTGAATGCAGTGGAAACTTGCTGAAGGGGCTTCCAGCGCAGCCTCTGTGTTTTCTGAGAGCCCCGAGAACTGTTTGCAGGCACGTGGCCTTTGTTTTCACAGTTTTCCTTCCCTCTCTGACCAACACGTCTGGCATGCCAACTTTCAGAATTTGCTTCTTGCAACTCAGAGAGGTCTGTAGGAGAGGGAATGAATGCAAAGGATTGCGATTATCATTAGAGCTGATGTAAGGATATTGAGCCGTTGTGGAAAATCTGCTAACACAAGGATCAGCCAGAGACTTAAAAAATTGGCTTGGGGATGATTTTCTTCTGGTGGCTTCTTGTTAGTGCTAATGTCGCAGCGTGTCACATGCTGCGGGTCTTCGTAGCTAATTACATAGGAAAAAGGACTGTTGCCTCCTGCATGCCACAGTGGCAAGAACAAGTCTGCAAGATTTTTAATGGGCAAGGTGATGTGGAAAGCCATTCTCATTTTCGTGAACACAGGAAGACATTTAAACAGCCGTGCAGCGCAGCGTTACCTGGGGAAGGCTCTAACTGAGCCCCGGGGCCAAGTGTTTAGACTTCACTGTTGGCATGGGGAAGCATCTGGTGCCCTGTGATGACCCCAGACAGTGGCATGCAACTCCTTTAATTAGGGAAACCGCTTCCTAATGGGCACACCAGGATGGGCTCATCTCCCAAACACAGGAAATGCCTTCAGAGCCTGGCCCCAGGGGGCTGCTCTCTTGTGGCTGCTGTATTTTCCCATTTTTTTTTTCAGCCATCCAATTGCTTGTTCATACACTCCACACACACTGGCCAAATGTTCACCCTCCTGGGGACTAGGCTCTTCTGGGGACTGTAGAGGTGACCAAGAGCTTGCTTCTGCTTCTGTTCTCAGAGCTCCTCAGGCCCAGCCCAGCTCTGGCCACTCTCTACCACACCTGGAAGTCTATGCCCTGCCTCTCATTTCTGCTTACCTGAAGCTTAGCCCAAATGCCTTCACGTCTGTGAAATTATCTCCAGTTCTCCCAGGTGGAAGTGAACACCTGGGGCCCTGTCTCCAGGCCTCTGATCTAAGTAAGGTTCGCTTACCTGCCTTGTCCAGTATGTAGCCACGAGCCACCTGTGACTACTGGGCACCTGGGAAGGTCTGAATTAAGGTGAACACAAGTACAAAATACACCTGATTTCAAACCTAGTACCTTCGCAATGACGATATTTTAGGTAGGGTATATTGGGTTAAATAAAATATATTACCAAACCTAATTCATCTGATTTTTGTTTGTTTTTTTCTTTTCGCATGAATACTAGAAAATCTAAAGTTACGCGTGTGGCTCACATTTGTGGCTCACGTTAGATTTCTGTTGGACAGAGTCACACTTACTGCTTTCTCCCTTGGGGGAAAGGAAGGTCTGTCCATCTGTTTTCTCTCCTGCCGGTTTGTAGTTCCAGGAGGGTGGACATGTGTACCTGTCATCCTTCTGACCTTTGCCCACCTGACTGGCTTATGGCCAGTGCTAACAGAGGTATATTGAGGGAATTAATAAATGAACAAATGGTGACAGACCATCAGTCAAAACCAACATGTCCCATAGGTAGTGCAATTTCTGGGACTCTGTTACTAAATTTATTTCCCCTTTCCTTCTTTTTCACAGTTGTTATTTTTTTTTTTTTTTTAAGGGCTCCCACAATCAGCAGAAGAAGATATTTTTCCTGGGAGATGGGCAAAAGCTGAAGGATTGGCATGACCAAGAAGCCATCAGGAGGGACGCCCAGCGCGTAGGTATGGACAGTGGTATTTCCGGCTGGCAGGTCCTGTGAAGTGTGTGTGTGTGTGTGTGTGTGTGTGTGTGTGTGTGTGTGTTTAGCAGGCATGTCTGTACCTCCTGTTGCTTTCCTCTCCATTTACCATTCTTCCTCCCCCTGCTTCCTGGGGGTCCCCCTCTTCACCTGTTAGCTGACCCCTTTTTCCACTCACACCATCAGGCCCACTGCCTTCAAGAGTTGCCCCTACTACCTTTATTGGGGAGTAGATGTCTCCTCCTCATGAGGTATTTTGCCACTAGAATGAAGAGCGGTCGTGATAAGAGCCAACATTTATTAAACACCTACGGTGAGCATGGAGGCCCGTGCTGCACACTTTGCACATTTTCTCAGTGAAACCCCAAGTCACCCTTTGTGGCCCATTTGACGAGAAGGGGCCCATAGCTCAGAGACGCAGGGTAATCTGCCTGCAGTCACACAGTGAGAAAGAGGCAGGCTTGGGACTTGAACCCAGCTCTGGAGGACAGAGTCGATCCCTACCCAGCTCTGTAGCCATAAGACTGAATGGAGTTAGCAGGCTTCGGCTCAAGTTTTCTTTGGCTAATTAGTCTTTGGAGCAGTTCCTGTTACACCAGGGAGTTGGGAAGAGTTGGGGGTGGGGGGAGTATATAGAAATTACGTGGAGAGTCGTCTCTAGAGAGCCTGGACTTAGGGGTCAGGAGGGTAACCCCGACACCACGGACTGGGTGTTGTTGTGACAAGTAAAGGGACAGATTTGAAGCAACTTTACAAGGCTGGAAAGCACTGTACAAATAGAGGGATTGGTATTTTATTCATTTCATCCCAGTTAAAGGCACCACCACTATTGATTTTTTTTTTTTTTT